TAATATTATACTTCTAAAATTAACTCTTTTCTTAAAATTAATTTTATTCAAAAGAGTGAAATATTATTAATTTGTTGAAAGATTAAAAATTTAAATAAAATATAATAATATAAATATAAATATAATAAATATAAATTATATAAATAAAACAAATTTTTATATTTAAATCACATAATTTTAATACTAATAAGAGAATAGATAAAATATACTGTATATATGATTATCTATTATGATTTATAATATATGTCAAATTAATAAAAAAAATTTATATTTTAATAAATGATATTTTTTATAAGCATTTCAATTAATCTGCTTTTTATTAAATTTTTTTATTATTATTTTATATATATCCTTTTATAATATTATAGATTTATGAATTTTTTTTTCCATTATTCCATTCTAGTTATTGAAAAAACACTAGTTACAGAAATAGCATTGAAAAAAGATATTTACCAGTTTTTTTTCCATTTTAGCTTTAATATCTCGTGCAAGAGTATAAAATGCCTCTTCAACATTAATACTGGATTTAGCAGATGTTTCCATAAATTTGATTCCATATTCAACAGCAAGTTGCTCTCCTCGTTCTTTTGAAACTTGTCGTTTTTCCGTAAGTTCACACTTATTGCCCAATAACATTTTTTCAACATCTGCTGAGGCATTTTCTTCAATATTTCTAATCCAATTCTTTATGTTCTCAAAACTTTTTTCATTGGTTACATCATAAACTAACATTATACCCATTGCACCACGATAATATGCTGTAGTTATAGTACGAAACCTTTCTTGTCCTGCTGTATCCCTTAAAAAAAATATAGGACAATTTTATTTGTATAAATAATAATAAAATTATACATTATAGAAATATATAAAGTATATATTATAGCAAAATATTTAAAAGATTGAAAGTAAAATATTATTATATATAATAAATTAACTTAATTATTTTATTTATCTTCATTAATAAAAAATGATAATTGAAAAAATATTCATAGAAATGTTGTACATAATTTAAACAGTCTGATATTTTCATAAATTTATTTTTATTGTTTAAAATTATTTACTGTTTATAAAATTTAGATGAATATATCTGAATATATCTTTTTATTCTATTTAGAATTATTTTAGTGAAAATAGAATAATTCATTTAAAAAAATATTATTAATATGGAAATTTTAAGAAATATAATCTTATGAAGAAAAATTGTTTAATAAATCTTAATATTTTACATCACTAAATTTTTATTTAAGAAAAATATTATTATTTAAGATATTTAAGATTATTATTTAAATAATCTTTTTATATTAAATAATTTTTTATTATATATCTTTCTTTTTTATCATAAAAATTATAAAAATATTTTAAATTTTGATTTTAAATGATATATTTTTATATCAATATAATTTTATATCAATTCATTTATAAAACTTAATTCTTTTTAAAAAATAAAGATTGTCTAAAATTAACATTATTATTCTTTTATCAAAATTAATTATTTTTTATCATTCTTTTTAAATGAAATGACATATGAATCATTTATTATT